GTTCATGGAGCCCGGTGTGTCTGTGGAAGTTGCAACAAGTTGGGGCCGCAGGCGCCCAACTCGCATCGTCAATGGGCTCCGGAGCCTGGTGAAAGCATGTCCTTGAGTTCCTGGGCTACTGGGCGATTGGAACCGATCGGAGGACTCGCACCCTTTGGCAGGTTTGCTCTCGAAGGGCATCCTTTGAACCATTAATGGCTCCCGATGTTCACGAGATGGCACATATAATATATAGGAGGGCGGGCAAACTGACTGACCACCCACACTGACTTGCCCTAGCATCACCTCGCTTGTTGGTGGATGGCAGCGAGCAGCGCTTCGGGGTGGCCGATCACGAACATGGTCACCTGCAACTTGAGGGGGTGCCCGCAGAAGGACGCACGACGTTGGCCGCCACAACATCGGCTGCTGGAGGATGACCCGACCGATTGGGGCACCGCTTGGAAGCACGGTGGGGTTGACTTCGATGTGGCCATTGCGGAGCATGATGTGAACAAAGCATGGCAGGCATTGTCAGCTGCGGCATGGCCGATCCTTGTGGTCGACCGGCACGGCCCAGCTATGCCCGGCCAGTCTGAGAGCTTGGCCGGCCCTGATGGCTGACGGGCGCAGTCCGCATCGCCAGCACGCAACGCAGAGCACGGAATGAGTCCCAGCCCCAACATCCCAGACAGGCGTGGGGCAGGCTAGGCTTCAGCGCCCAAGCCTCTTGACACACTCAGCTCAGGTGTGTGATCATGGACATATGTGGCACCTGATTCTACCTGCCGATGTATCTCAGGCGGCAACTGTAGCCTGCAGAAGTGCTTCATCCTGTGACGCAACAAGGCCGCTCGCCAAGCGGCCATGGTACTGCCTGAGCTCCTGCCTGTGCAGCTCAATCGGTTTGATCATAGTGGGGCTGAGATAAGGTTTAGGTTGCAACTTAGCCGACATGTACTCGTGCCATTCCTAGTGGGGGAAACCATCCAGTCACGGTCCTGCAGATACGAGTCACTCGCCATCATTTACCACACTGCCCAGCCGGCTGCATGGGCATTACCGAACGGCCCTGTGCTGTGACGGCTGTCCGACATACGTGACGGATGATGGCACACCAGGCAAGGATACAACTCCAGAAGACCTGGAGGAAGTAGCCCGGAATGCTTATATTGTTTTTTCAGTCAGACTGCCCAGCATCGCAAGACCTCGCTTGCAGCGTCGGAAAGAAAGTTGTATGCGTGCATGCATGCATGCATGCATGCATGCATGCATGCATGCATGCATGTATGTATGTATGTAGGTATGTAGGTATGTATGTATGTATGTAGGTATGTATGTATGTCAAGGTATGTCAATGTATGTCAATGTATGTCAATGTATGTCAATGTATGTCAATGTATGCTAATGTATGTATGTATGTATGTATGTATGTATGTATGTATGTAGGTATGTATGTATGTATGTATGTATGTATGTAGGTATGTATGTATGTCAATGTATGTCAATGTATGTCAATGTATGTCAATGTATGCCAATGTATGCTAATGTATGTATGTATGTATGTATGTATGTATGTATGTAGGTATGTATGTATGTATGTATGTAGGTATGTATGTCAGTGTATGTATGTATGTATGCATTTACCTATGTATGCATGTATGTAAGCACGTATGTAATTATGTATGTACTTTTTCTGCATGCATGTAAGCATGTTACTGGTTGTTTGTCTGCATGCATGTATATCTGCGCATTGTTTAAAAAGTCGTAGCACACGCACATATATGGATGCATATCACATTTTTCTCGTTATCTTTTATGTTTTTTTTTTCCTCTCTCTCTCTCTCTGTCTGTCTCGGTCTCCCAGCACAGAGCCGGCCGCTGCACTGCCAAATCTACCCAATCAACAACCATGAGCTACATTTGCATTTTGCAAAGGCCAAATCGAAAACAAGCTAAGTTCCGCCAGCACTCCAAGGGAGACATGTGACGAAGAATGGACGTGGGGTGCTGTGCATAGAGAGAGAGGACACAGGTCACGAGACGACAGATGGTCATTTCAGCAAAGTGCGTGTCGTCCCAAGAAGTTGATGCACTAAGGTATGCAACTGCATGGGCCTGCGAGGTCTGCGGACTTGTTTGCGATGAGGCCATGGTTGAGAAGTGAGCGCATGGAGTCACACATAGTTATGCGAAAAGCGCAGCATGTTCTAGCCTTTGCCCGAAAGAACAGTATGTTGTTTTGCCTTTGGCCTGAGGCAGCAGAACGTGCCTCGATTGGAATTGATGCGTTCCTGGGTTCGGTGTTGCCGCTAGGATTTTTGCCGAGATCATGTTTGCTGCATGCTTCAGCAACTTTTGAATGCAAGCCGCACATTTGTCTGTCACTGTTCGCGAATCCAAATTTTTGTACTGAGATCTTTGATCAGCAAGATTTGAAGTCATGGGAAGGTTGTTGCATCTGGAAATCGGAACCCAGAGAGCTCTGGCAGACTCCAGCGGTTCAAGCCCGTCGCTCTCGGCGAAAGTCGTGTCCTGGGTACCTTTTCCTGAAGTATTTCGTTAGGCGAAGTGCGGCCGATGTATGAGGAAAGGAGGACAAATGTGACAATGATGCGCAATGCCGTGCGACAGGTTGTCGGAGTGGTGAGAGACGGTTGAGATTACTGAGATGATATTGATCCTCGTAAGGCCAGTGAACAAAGTGAGTGGATCACTCACACATGTTCAAGGGTCCGCATTCTGTTCTTTTTTGCATGACTCACATTTCCCCGACCGCCACGAGCATGTTCTATCACCATTGATGCAAAGGTCACATCCGAGAGAACCTACGGTCTTGGACAGGTGCGAGAGCGTGTAAACATACTGGGAAGGTTGAAGAACGCACGAGATAAGAGGACGTGCTACTTTTTCCCGCGCTTGCCATGTTATCGAACCACATGAACCATTGACTAGCGCGAACTTATTCGCTGCTTTTCGAGCAAGTTAGCATACGTGCGCTTCCTTTCTACACGCCTCTCGGATGTCGCTGTGTTTGATTGAACTTCTTGGAAATCGCAGCAAAGAGTTGGCAAAGAATGAACATATGTTACAGGAAGGCGAAGCCATGTTTGTGCTTCCGGAATCTCATCTGGCCAACACCTTCAGGCGCTTCGGTGGATGAGGAGTCGTTTTCGTTATTGTCTTTTACGGAGACGATTCTCACATTGTATGTGTTTGGGCGTCCCCCGTGTTGACAGGGCACAGGTCCTGTCAAGGTTGCGCAGCATCATGCGTGTTGGTCGGGCCTCGAACCCTCTGATGGTGGCTCCTTGGAATGCAGTGTTACATGTTCCTCCTGTGGTGCAGCCGAGGTCAAGTATGGGAGACAGTTGCGGAAGATCGAGGAGATGCAGCGGCAGCAAAGTCAACAACTAATCCAGAATCCTGGTTTCCTACTTAGAGCAAGAGGTGAGTTTCCGTCACATGTATGGAGCCGGCAGCAGATGCCTTGTTTAGACGAGTCGACCCTGGGACAGTCTCGCAGCCAGGGCTGGGAAGATTCCTGCTAGTCGCACTTGTCATGTGCAAAGATTGTACTCCCAATATACTATGAAAAGCCTGCCCCACTTGAATAAGGATCGGCACCGCTTTGGCGGCTCCCCAGCTGCGCCCGACGTGGTTGTGAGCCAGATATTGTTTTTGCAGCCCGAAATTGCTCTTACGCTCTCACGGCCTTCACATTGAAGAGGGTGGTAAGACAACGTGGCCTCAGCCTCGTTCAGGCTTTTGGCAGCAGGCAGGGGGCATGTAGAATGTAGAACGAGAAAATATTCGCCTCGTCAAGTCTTTACTCTTGATACAATCTTCAGTGCTTCTTGTTTCCTCTTTCGCCCGCGAAGTGGCATGAAGTGGCTGTAAACCTCCGATGTCACCCCCATGCCAGCCCAAAGGTTGTTAGAATGATGAAGGCAGCCCGTGTCTGTGCACAGATAAAATAACCCCTTCAGCACAACTTGTTCTGAAACAGAACAGTCTATCGTTCCCGACTCGGTGCACGCCTCCAGAAGGAGCGTTTCACGAGACCGTGCCACAAGACATTCTTATGCGGTCGAAACATGCACGGGTCGCTGCTGCAGACGTCGCAGAGCTCCTGCGGAGGTTCCTGAAGACCCTACCAGACCCGATCCTGGCGCATGTCGGCGTGTCCACATGATCTCAAGCTCTGGGTAACCTCCGACTCAGCAGCCGGACAGCGGCAATGTATTCTGAAAGACGAACTTTCGTAGTGCAACGGTGTTTGCATGAATGATGCCTGCCTCAAGGGTAGATCGAAGGAAATACGCATGCCAAATCCTGTGGTGCAGGGGTTGCAAAGCACCCTTGTCCGCACTGGTAGGCGGCTTGCTATATGTAGTGGCTTCTTGCTATTTCGACACAGTGGTAGAGCAACTACATGGGAAAAAGATGCATGCCATGCAATGTCCAGACCATCAGGTAGGCCATCACTCGCGGGCATTCAACAGCACAGACCGAAGTTGTGAATGCTGCTGCCAGCTGTGGTCCAGATCAGTCACTTGAGGAGGGTCAACAGATTGTTGCCAAATTCACGCGCGGTTCGTTTTGTGAAGTCGATGCGGCATGGTATGAATGTGGCACCTGCTCCATAGCTGCGACCGTACAAGCTGTAACAAGTTGCTATCGGGGCATGTCCGAGGGCAAGGTCACGAGAGCCACACGTTTTAAGTTCGGCGATGCACGCCGCTCCCCAAAAAGGGGCACCCGTGCCGTGCGGGCACTGGGCAATGGCAATGGATGCCGACATGCCGAAGGCTATGGATGAGGTCTTGCACAAGCACAGCATGGAGGCAGAATGCTCCGCACGGGATTGGGATGCATCTTCGAGGCTGATTGTTGGATTGCGAGATGAAATCCGTCGACTTGTTGTTGCTTTCCTCTTCGTTGTCATGGTGCTTGATCGCAGAGGCACACTCGGTGCCCGCACGAGTACGTGAGCGAGAGAGCTGCCTGAAATCCGGCAGGTCTGTGCGCACTTGGACGCGAGGTTTGAAAAGTTGGAAGCCATTCTTCTGAGGCTGTGCCGCAGTGTACGAATGGCTCCACACAATCCGAATTAATCCTTGCCTGCCACATTTTCCTGTGGAGGCCTTTGATGTTAGATGCCGGATCGTTCCTGACGGGCAATTCGAATGTGGACCCGGAGCTAAACACCACCGGCTCGTTCCTCTGCGAATGCATAAGACGGGATTGCCGACTTGTGGTTGTCAGGGACAGCTGTACCAACCCTGCACCGTAGATGGTGACATCGGAAGTGCTCGCGTTGAAGCCGCTGCGTGACGGGAGATGCCCTCAGGTTTGGCCGCGTCCTGACGGCGGAGAGCATAGAAAGGGAGTCTTTGGGGGAGGCGGACAACAGCTCGCCGATGGCCGTGCGTCCCCGCTACAGCCGGGAGGCGGACGCAGACAACTCAACAAACAAACAAACAAACAAACAAACAAACAAACCAGCAAACAACCGACATCAACCGACCAAGCAAGCAAGCAAGCAAGCAAGCAAGCAAGCAAGCAAGCAAGCAAGCAAGCAAGCAAGCAAGCAAGCAAGCAAGCAAGCAAGCAAGCAAGCAAGCAAGCAAGCAAGCAAGCAAGCAACCGACCAACCA